CCTGCTGTATGTGGAGGGAGCCTCTCACGTACCCTGCTGTATGTGGGAGGGAGCCGCTCACGTACCCTGCTGTATGTGGGACGGAGCCTCTCACGTGCCCTGCTGTATGTGGGAGGGAGCCTCTCACGTACCCTGCTGTATGTGGGGGAGCCTCTCACGTACCCTGCTGTATGTGGGATGGGAGCCTCTCACGTACCCTGCTGTATGTGGGAGGAGCCTCTCACGTACCCTGCTGTATGTGGGTGGAGCCTCTCACGTACCCTGCTGTATGTGGGAGGGAGCCTCTCACGTACCCTGCTGTATGTGGATGGAGCCTCTCACGTACCCTGCTGTATGTGGGAGGGAGCCTCTCACGTACCCTGCTGTGTGTGAGGGAGCCTCTCACGTACCCTGCTGTATGCGGGGGGAGCCTCTCACGTACCCTGCTGTATGCGGGAGGGAGCCTCTCACGTACCCTGCTGTATGTGGGAGGGAGCCTCTCACGTACCCTGCTGTATGTGTGGGGAGCCTCTCACGTACCCCTGCTGTATGTGGGAAGGCTGCGGCCGGCGGAACACGGTCCAGCGCGACGCGGCGCTCTCGGCCCGGATCTGGCGCGGCCGCAGCCACTGCACGCCGTCTGGCCGCTCGCCGCCCTCGGAGCCAGCGTAGTACAGACTGCGTACAGCTGGCGGGAACGAGTCGTCCACGAATGGCTCGCCGTCCTGGGGGCACCGGAGCGGCGTCACGGACGCGACCTGGCCCCAGCTGGGCAGCTGGGGGCGTGCAGGTCAGAGCGATCAGTGATTCTGAGAGATCGCGCAGCACTCGTAGACACAATGATATGGTTGCGGACTAAGTGAGCTACGGCGGGCCAAGCAGGCATGTGGCGAATGGTCGCACTGGACCCTGGCGATTCGCCAGCCAGGATTTACAGGGTCAATAAGGCGCACCGGGATTATCGATGACCGAAACATTGCACACCGGAGCTAGGAAGTGACAAGACAGTCGCAAGCTATGCAAGAATCTGGGCGACCTGCTGCGAAACCACGACAAACATACAGTCTTAAGTTGTGCCGGACAATCCAATCCCTCAGTGGTGCCACACAGGCCTTCGCATAGGACTTGTGATCCACGGTCGCAATCCTGCTCCATATCCACGATCCAGCGAGCAACCCTGGCTCGCCAACATCTCGATGCGCCCGAACGACCGCCGTGTTCCGGACTGCCCACCTGTTTGCAGAACTCGACGATGTGTTTCCACGTCTGGCGGGCGCCCTGCTCCTCCCAGGCACGTAGGTCTGACTCGAGCTCGCTCTCGCGCCGCGCCGCCGCCGGCTCGGTCGGCTCCGGTGAGGCTGGGCCGGCGCGTGGCGCGCCGCAAACGCCGCAACGCGCATCACCGGGCGCGTTTCCGTACGTGCAGGCAGGGCAGTCCCAGCCGGCGGCGACGGCGGCGGGCGCGGTGCTCGGCGGCCGCGAGTGACAGGCGGCGCAGCAGCGCGACGCCGCCGCGTTCACAAGGGTGCAGTGCGTGCAGCTCCAGTCGCCGGCGGGTCGCGCCACGGCCGCAGCCGCGGCGCACAGCGCGCACCGCGCCGCTCCCACGCCGTTGATATAGGTGCATCGCGGACAGCACCATCCGGCCTGCGGCTCGGCGGTCGCCTGGCCCGGCAGGTACTGGAAGTCGGCTTCGAGCGTCTGGCCGCCCACGGCCGGGGTGGTGTCCGCCAGCCGCAGCCGCGGCCGCGCGCACGCCTCGCAGCGCGCCGCCGGCGCCGCGTTGGGCGCCGAGCAGGCGGCGCAGCGCCAGCCGCCGCCGCCAGCCGCCAGGTGGCTGGAGAAGCGGTGCGGCCCGTCGGCGCCGGCCGCCCGCGTCGCCACGAAGCGCGCCAGCGCGTCCTGGACGGCGGCGGCCGGCACGTCGGAGAGCGGCCGCCGCTGGGTGCCCGGTGGCGGCGCCCCGCAAGCCTCGCAAGCGGCGCACGACGCCTGATTGTCGAGCGTGCAGCGCGCGCACACCCAGAGCTGCCGACGGTAGGGCAGACAGTCGCTGCGCGCGCTGGTCGGAGCGACGGCCGGCGTCACCGAGCCGCTGCTGAGCGAGCGGCACAGCTTGCTCCGCACCCGGTCGTAGAGGCTAGAGTTCTGGCGTTTGGGCGAGCGCGCCAGATCCCCGCCGGCCGGTTCCACCTGCCGCACCGGCACCCATGGACGGCGGCCACGCCCGCAGTCGCCCGGCCCCCGAAGACGGATCGCCCGTCCGCCGCAGCCGCCCGACTCTGGCTCCGGCGACGCGTCCCCTCTCGGACGCCGGCGTGTCGCCGCTGTCGCCCGGTCCCGGAGACGGGTCGCGTCCGCCCGCAGCCGCCGACTCTGGCTCTGGCGATACGTCCCGCCCGGACGGCCGGTCGTGTCGCCGTCGTCGGCCGGCTCCGGGGCGGGGAGGGCGCTGCCAGCCGCGGGGACCCGGTCTGACGGAGCCTCTATGGTGCGGCGCCGCTTTCAGCCGCCGGGCGAGCGCGCGCGCCGCTCGCTGTCAGCTGATATGCCTGCCGGGGAATACCGACTCCAAGTAATCCGCAGCGCTCCCATTCCTCATATATCGATCAAACGAATGCAATCAGCCTCCAGAGTCATCCGGTCACGTCATCCTGCTCGTCGGCTGAGCAGGGCCCTCGCATAACGGCGATCGCACGTAAATATCAGCACGGTAACACCAGCAGCATCCAGGTGGCTGAAACCTCGCAAACTCCGGCGCTACCTGTCTATCCATATCACGGCCAGTTTCGCCGCCCGGCCTGTCCCACACAAACAGCAGACATAAACATGACAGAGCCGTCGGTTGCAGAGTTCTACGAACTCGCTCGTCGCAAAACAGATTTTCTGAACACCACCGGGCCGGGAAATGCTGCGGGGACTCCCTGCACATCACCCCACACTGGCGCGACTGGATCCGTCTGTGACGCACTGGGCCGAACTGAGGTTATCAAAAACCGCGGCGGGTACAGTCCCGCGGCCAGAGGAAGCCCCAGCCAATCGATTAACGTCAACAACGTCACGTTTCAACCTTTGGCGGAGCGGCTGTGAAAAATATACAAGCGGGAACTGCGAGTCACGCCAGGCGTATGCAAGCCGTCGAAAACCGAATCCCACAACAACATGCGTTGAAGACGTGCATTCTCTACAGGACTGTCAACAAATTACTCCAGCAATAGATTGGCTTCAGGGAGAAATACAAAGTCACTGTCCATCGATGGCAACCACTTCCTTACAACTCAAAGTGGAAGAAGCTTTCTCCACAACAGCCATAAGCACTAAGGGTTAGGCAAGCAAAGAAGGGGATAAGGGCTGCTGCCACCATCCATAAAACAAACTACACCAGTCACAGGGTCATTGTTTTCTATTTGGTCGAGAGGTTGCATACCTGACCTTGAGGAGAAGGTGGGCCAACTTTTGAGCAGATACCCTCTTTTTATGATTAAACCATGCTCCTGGTTTGTGAGCATCATTGCATGTGGAGGGGAACAGGGAGAGGTGGGGACTCAAGTGAACAGTACATGCACATTTCATTTGCAATTTCAACATAAAAAACACTGAAAATGTAGTATCAGAAAGCAACAGCATTCACCAGCCAGTCATTCCAAAGCCACCAACAAAATGGCAAGCTGGTTGATCCGACAAGAGTGAGCTTTCTAAGTTATGAAGGCTTCCATAGATATTTGTGCATCAAATGTTTTGTGTGTCAAATGTTAACTAATTGTCATTTTGGGACAAACATTCCATACTTACAGACAGTGAGCTATGAGCATGAAATCACAGTAGAGAAACTCTTCAACCACACACATCAGTTCAGACAGTTCAAAGACCTGCCAGTTTCAGCAATGTTGATAACTTGTGGTGATGTTTTGTCACCTTGACTTGTTCCAGGTCATTAATGTATGATATGTTAAGCCCCCATTTTATGTTAACCCTAAATCAGAGAATAATTTGGTTCAAAGTTCATGCTAAACATTCTATTTTCTTGCAAGCTTCTACTTACTAGTTTGATCACTTATAATGTGATGATGACCTGAGCTTTTATGCTATGTTATGGATGAACCCAATGGGTTCAGGTCAGGTGTTCTCAAACTCCTTCAGGGCCGAGGCACCTGCTGTTTAATCAGACTAGTTAAACATCAGCAAAATAGTGATTGGGTTCCTCACAACCCACTATCAAAACCCTCCCTGTTGTCCAACAGAGCACTGAGAGTTGTCTGGTAGGCAGCACAATGTAACACCCTGAAGGAAATTAATGTGGGCATCAATTTCTAAAAATATTTTGCTGGAAACATACCTTGGTTCATTGGTAAACTTGGTTGCAGATTTCCAAGATTAAGGTACCTGCATTGAAACAATATGTTGACATATTTTGAGATTTACAAGCACTGCTGAAAATACTTCCAGATGAAGACATGTTGGACACAACACATCCATGCCAATTTCTTCAATAACATGGTGGGCTGGGAGAATGGTGAGCTGGAAAATGGTGGGCTGGGAGAAGTAGTGATCCTGTTATAAATCCTCTTCTTGTAGCAAACAGGCACCTGCTAAACTTCCTCCCAAGCATAACAACACAATATGGTGATGTGTGCGCTTGGCATCAGTCACAATATGTTTGCAAATTCATGTTTCCACCATGAGACTTTTCAAGCTTGCTTGTCCACTTATGTAAGGTCACTGGTGGCATAATAGCATCATGCAGCTGTTTATTTTTCTGGGACTTGAGCCCAGTGAGTTAGCCAATAATATGATAGTTGAAACTGTACATTACTAAGGGAACCGGTGTATTAACATAAATTAACTGCTTCTAAATAAATTGTTGCCTTATGTAAATATCTTTCACTGCTTATATAGTGGTTTACATGATTGAGTTATCACCACTTTTAAGTAGTTGGCCATATTTTTAACATTTAGTCATGGTAAACACAAATACTTAGTTTCTTTCCAAAACCATCGCAACAGACTTAAATCACAACTACCTCTGATGCATACTGTCTGTTTCTCACACAGAATTGTAACAAATCCAGTCAAATTTTCACCTTTGGGCATTGATTATCTCAACTGAGATAAAAACTGCTAATTAAATAAATCTTAGTAGTATTAATTAACATTTATTTTACATATTGGGCATCAAGGGGGCTACATCCAGCTACCTGCTCAATCATAAGTGATGCTGTGCCCGACACACTCATCTTTAATGGCATAAATAAGATTAGCCACGGGCCAAGGGGCCTAGCCAGAAAGGCTTCTTCTCTCCTGTAGCCCTCAACCCAGATGCTTTCAGCGGCCACCTTTCGTCGACACGCTACCCCGTCCAAGCACCGTCATCATGACGCTGTCGCATTTATGCAATGCAGTAAATCTCTCCGTGCAATGATACCTTTAAATATTCCACCCTTCTTACCTGCCCAAGTACCCGCCCCAACATAGCGCGTTCACATACTGGAACGTCACGCACAAAGACCGAGGGCTTGAAAGCGTCGTTTTCACAAACCAATGCGCCATAGTTGATGTTATTTGATCAGCACCTTTGCTACCATATGCAGCAAAAAATCCTAGATTTAACTTCACGAAACAAAAAGTGGCCACCGGTAGAGAATCCACAGAGAAGCCCCACTTGGCATCCGGAAGAAAATTTCGGTAAAATGGAGAGCCCATACCTCCCAGCCCTAAACTCGTTGCATCCAACCGTCACATCGGTCGGACTCCGAGTCGCCGTACTAGCCAGCCGAGCCGCCAGCCCGTCCGCGGGTGTCTCACTGGGGCACGCCGGTGACACAGCACTGACCTCTACCCCCTGCCGCGCGGGGGTCGAGCGTGGAAGGGATGATCAGCCGAACTGTTTGTTTATCGCGCTGCCTGGTCACCAGCGGTCGGTGAAGTGGGTCAGCCGGTGCCAGCGGCCGATGTGGGTCAGGTCAGCGGCTGGTCGCCCGAGGCGCTAACACCGGCGACTCACGACACGCTGCACGCCGCGATAGTGACGGTGCACCGCGGCATATGTTGACGGTGGACGGCAGAGCTGCTGCTAGCGGCGGGACAACTGCTGCCGTCCGCTCATCACGCGTCTCATGTCGTCAGCGATGCTCATGACGACGTCCGAATACGAGCTACACATCTACGCTGATGGCATTCACCTCTATCTTGAGGCGACCCGGGACGCGATCATAGCGTCGAGGTCCACGTCCACGAGCTGCAGGAGGAGCCATCCGGTGATGTGTCCCAGTCCAGCTCAGCCGCGAGTGGTACTGCTTCCCGGCCAATAGCCGAGCTCCGTCGACACTCACGCCCACTAGCTGTGAAAGAATTTACCAGCTCTGCATCTAATTTCGACCTCGCTGAGTCTGATACCGTTTCTTGAGCACATTCTTCCCGCCCTGTGACGTCGCGATGGCGGTGGCGATGAAAAGCTGGTATTCTCAGTCACTCCCGACCTCCGCTAAACTCTTCGTTCTCACTGGAGCTATTTCCGCTCCACCGCCTCGCTCGGCTCCCCACCTCCCACATTCCACAGTAGCGATCATTCTCCACCGAGCTCTGGGGCTTCCTCCGAGGCCGGATGATTGGTTTCCATCAGACTGGTGTGGTCCGATCTTGGCATTTGATGGATGAAGATGCCTCTGTGCAGCCGCGCATGGTTCGTATTTTTGCAGGAAAGAATACCTGCTGGTATAAAGCGCACGTCTGGAAATAGAACTGCTGCATGTTTCAAGGGTGAACGTTGAGTTCAAGGATGTAATGAGTTCCGCCAGTAAAGGGTTGCTGGAAAACAAAACCACCTGATGTTCTGACGAACACGCTGTTGCTAATCGCAGCCCTTGGGCTACCCTTTATCTAGTACTGCGACTAACCATAAATGAAAAGTCATTTATATGTGGATGAGTTGTTGTAGTCATATCCAGAGATGTACAGTTTTTGACCTTATCAAGGGCTTATTTTTACCGCACTCGCCGATCCAAGGTTTATACGTACCTGCCGCCTGGGTCACTTAGCAAGGTTTGTTTAACCGGAGCGGTTTTAGATCATCCAAGCAGTACGAGGCGGTGTTCGACCCCAGACCAGTGCCCATGGGGACGCCCATGCTGAAAAATATGCACTCATGACAGCATATAGATCCTCATACTGACAGCATCTAGCTCATGCAGATAACGTTTTAGTTAGGCCAGCCCGAACCTTGTCGGCCGTCGAACAAGAAAAGATATTGCCGTGATCCTTATATAATTTGTAAGGCTTATGAAAAACTGACCGCCCCAACCAGCACAAAGCCCAGGGACACCAAACGTCCAAGCTTGGACGGGGGTCGATATCGGTCGTATCGCCTTATCAATAAGACACCAGGTATGCATTAACTACACGTTAGAAACATGCTAAAGGGACCATGCTGCAGAGCCATCCATGACCTAGTTATTTCAGTCGTGCAGCAGCGGGGTCCATTTCCGACGTCATCGGTCGGTGGAGAGCCCGCATCGCGACCTCATTCGCCAACCGGCCAATAACGTCCATGCCGCCCGCTTGCCGCGTGACACACCGTTGTCATGGGAGCCGCGGACGCCGGCCGGCCTCGGCCGTGACATTGGCCAAGGCCGTGGCCCGGATATTTCCGAGCTGCACGTGGAGACGGTGTTAACCGGCAGCAGTCATTTGGTACACTTGCCTGAGACGGAGCTGCGCGTGCATCTTTTCCAAACGCGAATTTGCTTCCTCAAGCTGTGAGTTTCGGAACCTGAGTGGAAA